ATCACATAGTTCAGAATGCAGAGATTCTGGATTTCTCTTTGATTTGTGGGTTTTCAGTCTCAGGGTTTTGGTTTACCTACCACTCAACATACATGCTGATGCTGAACAGTTCTTCACTGAATTGTCAGAAATGAAGAATTGTTAGTATAATAAGGCAAAATATTTTATCTCAAGCTGTCCTACAAATATTTTATAGGAATTTTGATTTCTGATTATGCCCAACTCTACTCTTGTATAAAGTCCCATTTCAAATCAGCCTTTTTTTATGAATTAAGATGCACAAACACATAACTGTTCACAGATTCAGGAGTTTCTGAGATGGTACAGAGATGTGTGAAGAACTAGTCAAAGTTCTCAGATAGATACAGGTAAAAGTTTTGGACAGGAACAAAGCAGAAGAGATGTGAAAATTTAAATTACTTTGATCTTTTTAATTCTACTTCTCCCCCCATATCTTCACTGTCAGAACCTGCATTTTTTATTCCCATTTAATTGTTCAGGTGTGAAAATATCAGATAATATGCTAAACCTTTCTGGAACAGATAGGTACTTGGGAAATCTCTTACAGGAAAGGAAAGTAAGGTATACTCATGTAGAATATTTAAAGAAACATACACAAACAGATTTCACGGAACTGGTGTTACATGTAAAATATGGAAATTAATCAATTTTTTAACCTTAGGTTTTTCATGAACCGTTTTTGTTGAGTTTTATTTTAAAATTCAGCATATCTTTTTATACTGCATGTTGGCATATCCTTACCTATATTCCCTTGAAAAWTTCCCTCATTTTAACCTCCTAAGTGTCTATAAATGGCTATTTAAAAGAAAATAATTTATATACTGTGTAAACGTCTTTGGTGACTTAAGCAAAGGAACTCAAAACTCTTCATAGCATGGACTACATCTTCCTAGTTCTGCTGGCTCATGGGCACCTCGCTTCCCTTTGAGATCACTAATTTCTACAGTAATTAGCTGAATGGGAGAGAATCAGCAGGAAAGGGGTTGGTGAGGTGGCAGTGGAAGGGTCTGCATCATGTAACCAGGCAGCCAGTTTGAAAATGTTTTTTCTACCAGTGCAGGAGAAGAGAGGCTATCCATTTCCAGCTAACAAGCCAAGGAAGTTTGGGAAGAACTACAGACACACAGTACATGCCATTAAAAATTTTAAAAGCCAATGGAGCAAACAAACCCCATTAGTGTTGTTGGTAATTGGTAATTAATTCTGTAGTTTTGGAAAATCTGACATTATGATATACACTCTATTTACAATTCTTTATGTACATATAGACAACTGTTTTATAAGCATAGAATGTTCACCATATCCTGGTCCATAATCTGAGGAACTGTATACAACACTCATGGATGAGCAGTGTGCACTACTAAATACAGGATGTGATGGCAGGAGATATATGTGAGCTRTAAGTACCTGGCATTGTCTTACACAACTCCTTTGGGTTTTTGTTCAAGCTCCTTGGCACAGTATGGGCAGTTCTTCCCTTTTCACCTTAYTGTAAGTTTTAGGGATTGTTTCCTTTTCAGTGCTGACTCATCTGTCTCAGGAGATTTCAAGATCATTGTCCTACTAAGAGATAGCCAAGCCCAACACATCTTTGCCTCATTCTCAAAAAATAATAATAATAGTAATATTATAAAAAGAAATTATCTTTGCCATTTATTCAGGAAAGATCCATTATAACTGATGTAAAGAGTATCCTGGAAGAAAGCTTTTTAACAGAACACAGATTTCTTCAACCATGTACAAATGCAACAAGTGTCTATTTTTAGTACTTTTCCTAGAAGATTAAATGAAAGACATACTTCTAATTATGACTTTTAACTAAAGAAATGTTGGACTGGATTAGAGGCAAGTCCTCCTTTCCAGTCCTGAAGGACATATTGCAAGACAGAGTGAGCCCATGACAGGGAAGTTACAGGTACTCTGTTCATAAGGAGAAGTTCTGAGCTGCCAGAACATKTCCCACAGAACCATTCCATCAGCTGAAGTAAAACAGTTCAACAAATGCTGTTTACAACAGGGCAGCTGGAAATGAGGAATGCTCTTCAATACAAGTTCAAGTGTGTTCTGTGCTGCTTTACCTTGCTGGCTGATATGGTCCCATGGGGTCATTCTGACATGGAAAGTGCTGTGGTTAATGCAGCCTTACTGGGCACCTCCACAGTGCCAGCTATTACACATGGCAAATCTCCGCTGATTCTGGATAGAGGGGGTCTGTTTGTTACTTATGACCCACTTTTGGATCCTGTAGGAATCTGTATTGAAAAAGAAATTAATGAAGCCCTGTGTTAGGCTTATCTTATAAAAAATGGCAAATGGAAACTCAGACTTAACTGATGTAAAAATTGAAGTACTACAGTCTGTGAGTTCTGTGTCAGAATCCAAGTAATATCTCATACTAATTTATTTGAATTTATTGTTGAGTGCACTATTTGCAATTAAAGATTGGAGACACTGGATTTAAGTTCATGGGAAACAAAAAGGGCARATTTTGTTTGAGAAGAAATTAAATTAGGTATCTCAATTCTCCTTCTTTCATCTCATGGCATACTGTTGTTTCTTAGTAATTCCAGTGTGCAAACACCTCATGAGTAAATTCTACTAAACCTTCTGCTGTGATTTGTTCAGTTCTAACATCATGAACATTATGAACAAGACCCTCTCTTCTTCACAGGTGCAGCCTGAGGGCTGGAYACAATTAATACATGAGATTCATCTGACCAAGTACAATGGACGCACTATCACTGAATGCAGAGAAACAGGTTAGAATTATTTCTTTATCACATCCACATTATAACACCTATTTTTTGGTGCTTGCATATCACACACACTTTATTTTGTGAACTTTCAATGAGTACTTTTAGTCATAAAGCACTCTATAACATGGGCCAGATTCTCAAAAMCAGCCTACTAAATTTGCTTTAATTTGTCAATTAAACTCCAGCTGCACACTGCAATATGCAGGATTATTAGAGCTACTTTTCTCCCGAATAAAGTATTTCCTGTAACAAAGAATGTTACTCTAATTTCACATATACATTTGTGGCCTGCACAGAATTAAGCTCACATTTGAAAAATAACATCTGTTGGGTTTTTTTTGCTGTTGTTTTTAAATTWAAAAAAAATATTTTAAAATCCCCRAACTAAAGCAAGAATAGACTTGGAATCAGCACAAGAGCAAATAAAATATTTATAAAATGGGGAAAATATAAATTGATCAAGATAGCTATTAAAGAAGTGTCAAACTGCACCACAACAACAACAGGAAAACAAGCTGTATAAACCCACAAAATCCTGGATTTGCAATGTTATTAACAAATGTCCTAACTCAAAGAATCCCTTGTTCTTTCCTTTGTGGTCACCCAAACTCTTGTTTGTATAAAAAATATATCTGATTAATAAATGTTTTAATTTTGTTATATTTTTTTCTATTGAAAAAATATTTTCAGTAGTGTGATAAATTTAGAAACTAATTTTCATGAAATATATCCAGGTTGAGGGCATTTAACAATGTAAATTCTGCATCCTCTCTACCAGGAATGAAAAAACTGGCAAAAACCAATCTGAAAGTGCACATACAAGGTTTGGAACAGCTAAGAAAAATTTTGAAACCCCCATTAACAAATAACAGACTCATACCTCCTCAGTAATGTATTCAATTTTAAGAAAGTCTCCTTCCACAGATGTCCTGTTGTTTGCCATGGAAGCAATGATAGGCAAAATGGATAATAAAATTAAGAAGGAAAATCAACTTTTAAATTACTCTATGGTGTGTTAGTATTTGTAGAAAGGCTTCAGGTGAAGTATGATTTTCTTTCTGTAGGAGCACCTCTATCAAAAAAAATTATTCATATATGGAATTCGGGCAGTATTTTTAAAGTGACAGTCACAGAAATGAACAAACCCTTTTTTTTCCACTGAAGGGCTGTGATCCTGCAAAACTCACGTGCTTGTGCCAGACTGATGAGTTCGAGGGACTGCCCCTGCTGGCAAAATTACCTTTGGAGCTACAACAGGACTGGAGCTTCCCTTCTTTAAACAAGCTCATCCAATTGGCGTTGTAGAACACCAGTGACTCCTGATCTTTAGAAAACTTGCTCTTCAGTTAAACCTGCCTCTTTTTTTTTTTCGAAAGGAAGAAAGAAAAATTTACTTAGTGCACTACCATTATCTCACTTAAATTAATGCAATTATTCCAACATAAAGTGACAACAGTGAATCAGGCCTAGTGTGTCTAACTCTGGGATCTGGTTGGAAGCATAATCTTTTCTAAGTTGCTTTCTGATTTTCATTCTTTGCCACTGATATACAATGGCAACCTTTTCCAAGACTTAGGAAATACATTGTGATTTACAAGCTGTAAATTAAGCAGTAAATACCATTATGATTACATAAAGTAACTAGTTCATTTTGATATACACATATATTATACTAATTACCTGAATGCAGGAGTTGTAATGCTTGAGTATATTGGAATGCCACAGAACTCAAAAATACCCTCCAAACTACACAGAAATGAACAGAAGCATTTGCACAGGGTTACATGTGACATGCATTGTAGATCTGCGTGGGATTCCCACAGCACGCAGCCATGCGCYCCTGCCCCTGCTCCCGGGAGTGCATATCCCATGCAAAAGTTTGGAAATGTAGCCCAGCACGTCTGTGTTAGTTGTCTGAATAGAACATGGAAGCTGTAAGTCTTAGAGAGGTACAAATATTATGTTAGGCCTTTGCTGACGTTTTCTTGCATGTAAATATGGCTATTGAAGGGTTCTAAAGGTAATATCTCAGATGTCCTTTAGAGATCTGTGCTGAATGAAGATCTGGTTTGTAATGACCAGAGCTCCATTTCAGCAGAGTCTGCTCTTCACTTCTAAAAGCAGAAGTAGACTCAAGGCAACACGTTACCACACTGCTGTCCTGCATCTCCTTTTCTGCCTGTGTGCAAGTTCACTGAATCCTGCAGCATGTAACTTCCAGCAGCACTGGGGTTGTGGTTGTACCGCTGCCCTTGCCTGGAGAGGATATGGCCGGCTGCTCCCACGGGAATAATCCCATCACCCCACCCATGGCTGGCTCTCTGAGGTCTGCTGCTGCTGCTGGAGATGATTCCCTATCCAAGCAGCACAGACATTCTTGAAACAGAAAGCTTTTCTGAAGTCTATGTGTCCACAAAAGAGCTGACAACCGTGTTTTACATGWGGTCATGGAAATGTTACAACAAGTTTTCCAGTGGATATTTGCCATGTAGTGGAGGCAAATTCTGAGTATTGCATTAAAAAAAAATTAGGGTGGTGAGCAATCCCAAGGATAAACAAGTTTTCCAAKCTAATCTAAAATTCAAAGCATAAAAAGTGTCGAGTGCTAAAGTAATTGAAAATCAAAAACCTTCCTTACGATTTCAAATAGGTTACTCTCACTATGCTTCCAATTATTCACACAATGAAAACTCGCTACATAAAATCATCAGTCATTTCTGCAAACAATACTAATGTTCTGAGGCACCAGCTTACCAGCATTCAAACTATTATAAAGTAATATAATGATAGGACCCATACATTTGGATTTAATTAAGAGATAAAATAAATATTTATGTTAAACTTCTTTTTGATTGCACATTTGGTATTGGAAGTTACATGGTCACAGAACATGAAAGAAGTCAAATACTTTTTGATCTACCAGCAAACTCTAAATACATCGATAAAGAAGCCACACCAGGCCAAACAGATTACTACTTTCAAGTAAGTCCATGAAAGTTTCCCAAATACTGTTATACAAAGTTACACATCCATGCTGAGTTACTCATCAGTGTGTAGCAAGAGTCTTGCAGTAGGCCAGGGTTTTTTCGGCAGAGAACTGGTGGAGGAGCTGTGCAGTGTGATTAAAAATTCCGGTTGGAAGCATTAACATAGAAGTACTTGTATAGTCTGAACTGGAGACTGCAGTACTTGAAGTTGGGAAGAGCAGGAGGGAAGAATGAGAATATTTTTCCATTTTAGAAATGCTGAGGCACAAAACACAGTTGCTTCTATTACTTTCATACATGAAATCCTTTCTCCTGTATGTGCATCATGTGTAACCGCAAAGTCTGTAAACTGCTGACTATTCGTCTCTGGTGTCCAATGAGTGCAACTCCAATTCTTCTAATGTCACTGCAAGATAAAAAGTTTCATCTTGGAAGCAAGAATAGTGAAGCTGCTTGCACACAAAATAATATAAATATATGATGACTTCTTCAGGGCAGTTTAACTTCCTGACCAGGGCATGTAAAAAAGCAAGTTTTCTGCATTTGTCAATCTGAATTTTTTACAAGACAGTCACTTAAGAAAAGGAATATAATTTTAGAAAATRTAGTTAAGAGCACTGGGGCTTTTGTGATACTAAAGGTCAATTAGTCTTTCCACATCTCAAGGAATAATCAGGAAGGTGAGGTCTAATAGCCCATTTTTAGTAACCTGATTGTAGCAACTGTTTCCCTTTCATACTTGCAAAGGATTGGTGCTTATACACTCAGTATTGCAGTTCTGAGGCAGAAATAACAGTTTGTGTTCTGATGATTTGGGAAATGGTAGTGAGGGATGGTCTAAAGATCAAAACAGCAGTGAATCTTYGAGCCTGACCCAGATTTCCCTCCCAGATTCCCTTCATCTCATCTACCTTCACCCCAGAATGGGTAGCTCTTGTCACCCATGGAGCTCAACTCTGTTAGGAATGAAATCAACAACCCTCAGAGTTCAGCACAATCCACCAGTTTAGTTGTTCTATAAACATCACCAGGTGCAAGATGTGACAAAGATTATAGAGGTGATGAGGGTGAATAACTTCAGATATGCTTCAGATGACTTCCAACACTTACATATTGAGTGCAGGGTTTGCATTTAAAAACCCCAAACAATAGGGTGTTGTCAAAGATGATTGGAACAATTACCTCATCAGGATTGATAAGGACTTGATGATATTCATAGCAAAGTAAGAAAATATTTTTGCCAGTATTATCAGTGGTCTAGATGAAAACTGATTCCCCAAGAAACACATTCATCCCTGGCCTTTGGATGTGTTTGGTGTGGTTACAGAGGGGACTTATCAGTTCTGGGTCTCTTCATCATACRTTTCTTGTGTTGTTTTGGTAAACAACTGTGTTTGTCTTTTGTCAGCTGAGGAAGGAAAGGAAATGAAAGCACTGTACCATACTTCAAAATATTTATGTCTCTGCAGCATCCAAACAAATTCAGTTTAATTAGTCACTGTAGCGATAATATATTATATACTCACTCAATATTCATTCTTGAAACCATRTCCAAAGTTGTGAAACCTGCTGCCATGAAGTTATTTTTATATTGACCCATTTTTATGGAATCCAGCCAGTCACTGACTGAAACAAACAAAGGATATTCTGGAACTTCACCAGGTGAATCTGGCATTCTGTAAACAGAAATAAATGCAAAGGTTACCAAAGCAGTACAAAATATGACACCCAATTTACTCTGGTAGACATAGATTTTACTAAAAGGCAGAAGGAATGAGAGATGAGTCTGAATTGTAAAGGTAAGATCTTAACTGAGGATCTCTTTAAACCATTGTCTAAACTTATAAATCATGTAAATCTGCCAAGTTGCACTACTTAAACAATACATTTTATTAAAGAACTGCAGCTCAGTAACTGAGGAAAAGGCCACTCCTGCTCTTGTTTTGTTCCACAGAATATTTCTTTGCAGGGCTACATATTCAGGATTATAATAATTTGTTAATACAGTAATCAAAGTAGAGGACAAAGAAGATTTAACGTAAGAGGTAATTAAAAAAATAAAACCAACATGAGATAATTTTTAAATTTATCTACAAACCCCAYATCCCAAATGGCTCCTTATTGTGAAACCATTATGCTACAGGAACACTTTGATTACAGTACTCAAAAAACTCACTCTGAAAGACACAAAAAGAATAAAACGCTATGTCCTTGCTTTTACATAGATTTACATAGAGTAGCAAATAAAATCGAAAGAGCTAATTTAGCCACATTTATTTTTGAGTTTCTCCCCCTAATATTATTCAACAAGTGAAACAGAAAGTAAAAAAAAAAAGATTCCAAATCTGGGGCATTGTTTTCCAGTCTTCTGTTGTGTGCCACACTTGGGAGGGCTCGCAATTTTCACTGGCTTTAYGCATATTGTGCAGGGAAACTGTATGAACAAAGTGCAGAAAATACACACTGCTGTTTGTAAAAGCTTTATGATAGTCTTTAGTAGAAAGATACAGTTTATTTAAAATGAAAATTTAGACAGCAAAAGCCAGCCAATATTAACTGATGGATGGAACATGACTTAATGTGTAATGTAGGAAGCAACACAACCCAGTTCTTAATGTACCAAGTTTTGTGCACACATATTCAAATACATTAAGTAAAGTGATTTCATTCATATTCTCAGAATTATAGAGGGAGAAACTGAAGGTCAGGAGAACATAATTAACTGCAAACTGTAATTAAAAGACCTACCAYGGTCCCTTCCCATCTGAATTACTATATGATTCTATAGAATAACTGGTGACCTTCTAAGTTACCCAAAACTGCATCAAGCATTCTCAAATGAATGGAAAAAAACTTTCCSAAGCAAGTGAACTCAATAATAGTTCAAAAAAGCATAAAACTTTCAGGTCTTAAGCTATGATTTAAAATGAAAAGAGATAAAAATACAATTCTCTGATGCTACACAAAGTGATCCAGGTACAAGTAGCAATTCATATATATAGATATTTATATACATATAAAATTGAACCCACTAACCCTAGGGGATGGATATTTAATCCCACAAGTCGCCCTAGTCTGTGGTAGATGAAATGGCTGTAGCCCTAACTCCAGTTTTTCCAGCCCMAGCCTTTGCCTTGTTGCTCAGCCCTTCTCAAAAGCATTTAAAGTTTCTTAGCAGGACACACTTAGCGTTTGCAAATCCCTTTTAAACCCAGGGGGTCTCTATGAAAGCACCTTTATCTTAAGGTGACACTTAGTGAATGAAGAGAGTGAGGCCACCTGGACCTTCACTGATATCAGCTGATATGCAGGCACAGCTTGGATCAATAAGCCTACAAGTACTGACATATTGTTCCACCACAGACTTGCTTATCCTGTGGCTGCATTCATTTCTGTAATATTAATGAAAAAAAACACGCCTGGGCAACACTATCAAGAATTTGTTGTGGAATGCTAACAGCATAATCTGTTATTTGGTCACTGCTGCCATTCTACTGCAGATAAATAAAGATTTASCAAGCCAAGACACAACTACTTTCTGCAGGATATTACTCCAAGGCAGTTCAGAAATTGCTTGAGCACTGTCAGATGGAGAGACAGGCAGTTGAATAGAGAAAAGAAAGTACAAAGAGAAAATAAGCACATAGGAAAAACACACAAAAAAAAAGAACGCGATTCACAAAGATTTATGCAGGGATAGACACTGCATAAACAGAACTCAGACAAAAGTAATAGTAAAAAAGCCTAATATTATCTGCATGACTTGAGGAAAAAAACCCTCCTTATATAATAGTGTATAAACAATGAAGCAAACCTTAAAAGGGGCTTAAAATGATTTGAACCTGCACAATTTTATGAATTCAGAACTTTGTGGCGCTCCCATTCCTACTTAATGCCCTAAACCACATGACAGCCACTACGTGTTCTAAAAAACCCCAAATGTATCAAAAAGAGTCTTACACAAGTACATCCTCCACTAGGGTATGAAGGGTGCTGGGATTGCGGATCAGTTTGTCCAGGAAGCTGACAATGTCACTGAATTTGGGACGGTGGTTCCTCTCCTTCTGCCAGCAGTGAAGCATTAGCTGGTGAAGAGAAGCTGGGCAGCCCATGGGAGCTGGAAGCCTGTAGCCCTCTTCAATGGACAGTATAACCTAAAGAAATACAATGTGTATGATTGCCAAGCATTAAATGCTGAAAGGACAGTGTGACACTGACAGTTAGAGACCAGTGAAGATAAATTATTAATGGCACAGCCACCCTCACTTTATGCCTCACTGGGCCTTCACTCAGGGAATCAGGGCTGGCAGGGATGTGATCAGAGGAGACATGAAATATTTTCCAGGCATATGAAACATAGCAGGGACTTCTTTAGGGTCTCTGGTCATCCTCTTCAAACAGCTAAGAAAGGAGGAGGGGAATAAAGAACTCACCAAAACCACCATCATTTCCATCCACTTTAGGCTGACTGAATGGWGTCACAGAGCAACAAATTCAGCTGGTGTGGCCACTGCATCCCATCATGCTGTAATATTTGCATTCTGACAGAGTGTTTGTGTGTGYCAATGACAACCAAGCACTACTAATGCAAATTGTGGCCCCTGACAAATTTACTTGGTATTTACATGTTTCTGCTGGTCCTTAGAGTATGATTAATCCAGGCAGTGTCCCACACACYGAGTTACAGGAACATTATTTTGCACAGTCTCCCTCAGAAACAAATGTTAATAAAACTATGGTATGACACTGAAGATTCAGCAGATACTGAAAAGGTGTTTGGTAAGGATTTGGAAAGAAACACATCTGCTGCCACAGGTAAATCACATTTATGAAAAATTACAGTTGATCAGAGTTGAAGGAAAGCTTATTTTTAGTAATACAAGTAGCAAAAACATTGTTTGAAAAGAAGAGTAGCAGCCTGGCTTGATAGGAGTTAACAAAAGTAGGAAAGGTCCATGGAAAGCCTCATGGATTCATAAAACTTTCCATGCATTCATTCCATGTAAGATTTAAAAAACAAGAGGAAAGGWCGGGAGATTCTGCAATGAGTGGTGGTAGCAGCATGATGCTACAAATTACACAGTCAGGAATTTTTTTTGTATAAAAAAGAATTCAAAGCTACTCAGTGGCTGATCAAAAGCAAAGCTAAGAAAAACACCATCCCTACCACACATGCATAACCCTTCCACATAAAAATCCAGCCAATGCTAAATGTTTTCTAATGTACAAATGATTGTACACAATATTTATAACCACACAGTGCACTTAGGAGGAACACACCTGCTGTATTGATACCCCCTCTGCTGCAAGGAGACATCCATCATTTTCACACAGATGGATGTACATGCTGCAGACATATTAATGCAGCTGGAAGGGGTTACATTAAACTGTTTACAGCAAATCAATGTTTTACAGCACCAGCTCTGGCTTCAGTATAGTCAATCTTATTATCCTGGAATATATCCCCATTCTCTTTTTGAATTCTGAATTAACGTGGGCTCTGCTCAGCAATGCCTAATACTTGTGCTGCAAGCATTATGCAAATAATATAAGAGTAATGAAGCTGTGTTAGGATGTGAACTCCCTTTGATGGCATGGCAGGAAATGGAAAAAAGCTTTTGTAGCTGCACACAGCTGCTTGTCTGAGCTTATAAACACAGGTTACTTGGTCCTACAGTATACATGCTGCTGTTACAGGTAAAAATGCCATCACATTGCCAGGGAAATATATCCTTCAGAACCCTGCCTTCCCAATGACAAAAATGCCCACAGAGGCTCAGAATGGGAAAAATTTAACTCTAGGTGCATGGAATTTTATTCATGTTTGTTTTTACATGTATTAGTAATGTATCTCAAGCAGTTTGTCAAAATCATAAAACACTYGTGACAGTGAGGAGCAGAGCTTAGTTGGTACTTGCCATCCTTAGCAGCAGAAATGCAGATATCGCAGTCTTTAATTTAACTCTGCCTGTTGCAAGTGGTGCATTTGTGAAATGTATTTTGTTTTTAAGGCAACAGGAAAGCTGCTCTGCTTTTATGAGACATATAGCATTTGCTCAACACAACAATAGAGGGCTGATGAGGTTTTGCTGAAGTAATTTATTCAGGAAAAACCCAAAAGCAACCATAATTTTCCAGACATATTTTCTCTGCCACACTCTATTTTAACATAACTTTGAAAATGAAGTCATAGTGCATTTTGTTTCCTCTTGTTCAAAAGGAACATTTCAGTATGAAGAGAAATGCCAGCTGGTACTGGGATAATTATAATTTCTCATTAATACCAGCACATTTTAAAAATAAACTGGAAATATTGCCTCATTAGTATCCCTTGTGAGGCAAGTATTATTTTTAGATTCTAAGAAGCAAGAGTAAAGATGTGATAAGTGTCTAATACCACAATGGGAATCAAGTCTCAAAGGGAGAATTAGAACTTTTTAGTTGCATATTTATTTATATACTTATTTTAGTATAAGTAAATATATGCTCTGCCACGTGCATAGCACCCATCTCTCTCTATTCAGAGAAATCAGATATCCATGCACCTAAAAGGGAGGAAGTATTAAATTTTTCTTGGTAATGTAAAATTATATGTTATAAAAGATCTAGAGATCATATATGTTAACTTCTTTCAAATGCCTTTTTTCCTTGTCAGTTTAAGGTTGACAAAGCACCACATTAATTATGAAATCTGCATCTACAAGAAGGATACAGTAACACCTCRTGTGATGTTAGACATAGCTATAAAGTTTGACCACAGAGTTAATATTAAATATTAGTTATGATACCAAAATTGACTGAACAGTATTTTATGGACTTCTACATAAAATTTATACATCTTTAATTTCAAAATAATTAGCAATTGGCAAAAATGACATCTGAAAATGAAGCTGTAATCTTCCTGATAGTTTCATTATTAATAGGAACATAGATTCTTGCTTCCCAAAGTTAACTGACAGCTTTTTTAATGAGACTGAGACAGAAGAGAGTCCAGAGGGACATTGTCCCTGCATCCTCCTGACATCTGAAAAATCTACCAGGAGGGAGAGGCAGCTGCTCCTGCCTCATGGTACAGAGCCAATGCCAGGYGCCTGCCAAGTGTTTTGATATCTGTGGGTTGAAAGAACTATATTAGGATAAGTTTTGGTTTTTTCACTATTTCAAGAAACTTTCAGGAGTGTAAGGAGTTTTATTCTGTTTGCTACAGTAGTTTTCTTACATACCAATTACAATCCATTAAATATTCTTTTTCTTTTTTTTTTCTTCCTTTTGAATACTGTAGCTCTGCAACATGCACTAATTTATACGGTRGCCTCTAACAGGTGTCCCAGTAGAATTCACTCACAGCTGTTCTACAAACCAAATGCATGGAATATAAATCTTCCTTCCTTCACAGGAGCATTAGCAAGCCAGGCTCTTTGCACAATCTGTTCATCAGTACACTAGTTTCCTTGGAAAGTTCAATATCTTGGCTAATGTTTATTAATTAAGCAATAAGACATGACTGACTGTGCAGCAGCCCTAATTAATGGACACCTCTGGTGCCTGCCATACATCTAAGAAGTGCATTAATCAGCACCAACATCATTTGGAAGTGACTTACCACAATAATAAAATGGTTATTTACTTAAACAAGAGCATTTCTGAAATTTAGCAACATTTTTAAGCCTCTGCATCATGCCATGTACAATATTAATTTATTGAGAGGCATTTTCCAACTCAGTTTCCTTAAGTTCACCTTCCACATCCTTTCRGGGCAATATAAATAGAGGATGCTGGATTTGCAGAGGTGTTGAGTCATTCTGGGTATCTGTGAGCAGCTGTAGTCTCTGAACACAAGGCTGGGTTTATTTAGGTGGCAGGGACCGGYGTAAAACTTTTCACATCAGCTGTGTTCATCACTTACTTAGCCATGGTCTAAAAAAAATGAATTAATTTCCCAAAGTTTTATAATTAGAAAAGCAACTGGTAAGATGGAATGGGAAGAAAACCAAACTGCCAAGTCAGACCCAGCTCTGCGGAGTTTATCCTTGGAAAACTTTTGGCAATCTACCAAAACCCACCCAATTCAAGAAATACTTTAATTGCTATCCAGAGAAGAGTTTTATTATKATCAAACCTCAGTAAGTTTTAATAGCTATTAAAACCTCAGTTTTAAYAGCAATGTTAGCAGACATTTTGATGTAGAACCTCTGACTGTATCCATGCAAGATGTTATTACCTGTTGTTTGCACACTGAGTCTTCTATGAATCTGTTTAGTGCATGTCTCTCTCTGTTATTTTCCCTGCCGTCTGTACAGTACCACTGACCTTTGAAAGTCCTATTATTTCTGCAAAATAAGCTCATGTGAATTCAGGGTAATTTATTGTACTAAAAGAACCATCCCAATATSCAGGAAAATAAGCTTTATATTATGTCTAATAATTTGAGATTTCCGAATGACACCTGAAATCACTAAATGTGTGTAGAAGGTCACAGGTACTCACTGTTCATATTCTGGCATTGAAAGCCTGTGGGTAGGACTCTGGAGAAAAGGAGTCCTTTGTACTGGGAACTACTGAACTGCAGGAAAAGCCCCCAGGAATTGGCATCATTATTGGCAGTGTTATTTTGTATTAGCAAGTGTTTTTTACTTTTGCTTGTATTTTACTTTTATTTTGGATGTAGGAGTAATTAAACATTGCTATCTTCATGCTGTAGCTGATTATTTAATATATTCTAAATGGAGAGGATTGTGGTAGTCTTTTGTTCCTGATGGGTTTGGCTGTTTTTTTTTCTTTTTTCTTTTCTTCCTGAAACAGTGGAATTATTTTTCTAAATTAAAATCTCTCTCAGATCCTTATCCCCAAATGACCGATCAGCCTTAACAAGCAACCAGACTTGAAGAGCTGAATAACTTAGCAACAATGTAAAAACAGCCATCTGGGAAAGCCTTGTCAATGCTTCAGAACCAATGCAGGAATATTCTAGGCAATGTATGAGAAAGGTTAAGGGGGGTTGGCTGATATTCCACATKTTGACATAGAGATTGATGGCTGGTGTGAAGATTGAGTGTACCAGTTTGAGCTGTCACAGGGACCCATCAAACAAGAGAATTTGTGAAAATTTAAATTGTGGTAGAGAAAAAAACTTACCATTTCCCCTTTCCCATATTTCTTTTTCTAGAAAAAGCTCTCAATTATACTAGAAGCAAATCTGGTCTTTTATTTTTTAATTGTGAAGGCTTATTTGGCCACCGCTTTTGAGAAAAAAAAGTCAGAAGGAAGCATAACTTTGTTACGAGGGAAGGATTATTGTCCTGCACTGTGGTTAAGCCTATACATAGATTTTAAGGCAAGAAGAATGCACTGAATTCTTAGAAAGGAGAATTGACAAATACATTTCTCATGGTACCTTAATTCTTGAAGAGTTTAACCTGTGTGCCCCTTGAAGGGCAGTGTCAGACTGTCCTGGAGATAASGGGAAAACTCCATCATCAGGATAGTTCCAGTATTCCCTTGACTTCTGATGTACAACTTCACCCCCTTGCCTATGATTCTTTGGAATATGTGTTTACTCCACGGAAGGAAGCGGGTCAAGGTTTTAGCTAGAGAGGGCCAAGTCCTCAGGTTGCATAAATTATCTGTCCCATTGAAGCTGACAGAATTATGATGATGRTTTAAACAAGCTGAGATTCCAGCCTAGAAAGGGAGCGACATAGCAACGCAGGGCAGGGAATGGCAATAATTTTCAAAGCACATTTCAGGAAGTTGCAGATTAGTCCTGGRCAGTACTCACATCCTGGTTGGACATCTCCCAGTACGGTCTCTCTCCGTAGGACATCACCTCCCACATGACAATTCCGTAGCTCCACGCGTCGCTGGCCGAGGAGAATTTCCGGTAAGCGATGGCTTCAGGAGCAGTCCACCTGATGGGGATCTTTCCACCCTGGAAGAGAGGTTGAAAGCTTCTCAATATGACTAGGATACAGAATAGCATGTTTTAAAAGAAAAGAAAAAAATCTGCATTTTGATTTCTGTCAATTTGCTTTTTCAATTTGCTGCAAGTGGAAAGGAAGAAATATGCCTTTTTTATGGAATTAAAAAAATTATTTCGAACATAGTCTAATTCACCAATACCCACACTCTGTGAAAACCACTCAGTTCAGAGCACAGAAGGCATTTAAGAYGGTTAATGTTTGTTCAGTCATATAAATAATCAGAACATGCCTTTTGATTGAAAACATCCCAAGCCTTAAATTCCTAGTTCACTGACATTTAAGCTTTTTCCTGAAATGAAACAGAAATAGCTATTGAAAAATAAAACACTGAAATATCTGCATAAAATAATATAATCAGAAAGGAAACTACAGATGTTCTATATGCTTTCAAAACATTACATTTGATAATATATTTAATTTTTTTTGTGCCCTTTAACTATCCAGGTAGAAAATAAACCAAGTGTGTTTCTAAATAGGCATTCTCTTAGGATATTTGACAGTATCTTTCTGCAGCTTACAACTTCAAACTCAAGCTTTCCCACAAAAAAAAAAAAAAAAGGTAAGAAATCAATCAACAAACCTAATACTATTTACAAGACCACAGGATGCAGACTTTTTCTCTGTCCTTAGTACTTTACACCACTGAATCTCTTCTGTTCTCCCATAAATAATTTCTGTATGAAAATGACTTTTCCATTTCAGAAGAAAAGAAGTATTTCCTCTCCAGATACATTGCTCATTTCAAAAGTACATATTTTTCTTTTCAAGACTTTTTCTTTTCAATACATTAGTTATCATTCTGATTGAACTTTTTAGATAGAGAGAGAGCAGTATGGGGAAGGTGCCACTAGATGGTAGAAGGAGGCAGTCAGTAGAGCTGAGCTCACTCAGCAGTAGTTGCTTTCAACSAGCAGTAATAGATTCTGCTCAGTGTTATAATTGTATATCTGACTGAAACAAAAGAGGAAATGAACTAGAACAYCCATTTGGCAATTGAAGAGAAGCCACAGTTAAAAACAAGTATGTAAATCTCTGTTAATTTTCTTTGAATGTATAAAAGATTGTCTGTGAGTTGTTCAGGCCTGACTTCGGCTGCTTGAGAAGATGTTTGTTCTGCCAATAAATTGTTCAAACTCCAATCCRTGTGCCTGTGGTCACTAAGCCAAGCTCTCCTTGCTGATGGAAAATGCATGGTTAACATTTCTGCCGTAGGACAGTGGCAAAGTCTTTCCTTCCTCACTTGTGGCAAACCACTTACTGATTTTAGCACTAATAAGGTGAAAGTATTTTTGCCCAAGATCACTGCTCTAGCACATCAGAGGTGCAAAAGATTTAATGTCCCACCTGCTGTCACCTGCACTGCAGCGTGTGATGCTCTTGGTCCCTTCTTGGCACCACTGCTCCACTTGGGAAGGAATTAAAAGTGKTTTTTGGGTATGAGAATGAAGAAATAAGGGGACAAAGGAGAGGTGTGATAAGATATTCTCAAAGGAAATGCCAGGTTAATTTCTTGTCTCTTCTGCAGGAAATATTTATTTAYACCTTCTAAAGAAATTGGGTAAGAGCACTTGGTGTTTGATCCCACAGCCTGGTTTCAAAGAAATTTCATGAAATATGCAAGTCCAGGCTTCCTCAGGTAGTTGAAAAARTAGCTATTCAATGCCACAAATGTACAGCCTACACTGGAACATCCAACCAAAAGGATGTATCCTCTGAGAAACAGAATTTTAGGGTCTAACTGCAGAAGGTACTTCAAAAGTATCTCTTCACACCCCAGAGCTTTGGGCCTTGTTCTTTTTACCAGATCAGGTTTAGTTCTTTATTTCCAAACATTTTATYACCAAACTTACATAATTCCATCCTCAGTTAGATTCCTGTTTTGGAGAGTTCTATTATTCATTTATTATTTTTTAAAAAGTTTAATGAAATTCTTATGTTAATAGTTAAATTTCTACTTGCAGGCAAACCAAAAATCTATACATGCAAATAAAAGGCATTTGGATATTTATAGATTTTATTCTAGTGTCTATAATGTGGTATGGATAACATAACAGGAAGACTGTCTTTACACTGTATCCTTTTCTTAAATCTGATTTTGTATTCCCAAATCATACTCAAAAGAGAAGGGACATCTTGACCAGCATTTGCAGCTAGATTTGTGACTCCTGGCTAAATAAAAATGAGTTTTAAAATATCTGATCAGACTCTACAAATAGTTTCATGACACAGGTCCACTGACTGATCCCTTTTGGACTGAAACAGTAGTGGCTCATTGAGTGTGAAAATGAGACTGGAGAATAGAATCTTAAGAAAAATTCAAGGCAGTTCACGTTCAAGGGCATAAGATGTGTTCAGAGTTGTAAAATAAAATCATTTTGTGCCGCTCTAAAAAGCTCTAAAATTTTTACAGTGGATTCATCTTGTGTATGAAGTTGTTATATTCATAAAAATGTAAATTTCAATACTTAATTATGTTTGCAGMATATCTTTTTTATGCAAAAAAGTGGTTTTATTGATTTGAAAGCCATTCAAAAAGTAGAGATTGCAATATGACTACCTTAAGAAACATATATGACTGAACAGTAGTAATAGCTGCTCATGCATAATAAAAGAACACATAAGGTTTAGAGTAGCCAAAAATATATTTCCTATTTCTGATTAGAGTAATAAACAGTGTTTTTGATATTGGATATGCCTTTTTATATTTTAATCTAACTGGGGAAATAATAAATGCAATACTTACTGTTTACACAACACCTCACCTTCAAATTAAGATAATTTATAAATCATTTTGCTACTACTGCAATGAAACCTGTCAGAGCTGCCTGCATTAGAAAGYCCTTTTTGCTTTTAGGTTATTCTCTCTATTTCTTTTGGTGGGGGGAGGTTGGGGAGGAGGGGCAGAATGGGTGTTAGGAAACAAATTGTTTTTCTGCTTCATCTCATACATTAATAATGATATCAGTGATAACCTAATTTTATTTTCACACAGTGAAATAACACTAACTCCACTGTTCAAATAATTAGAATTCAGCCCTTTTTACTGTATGCTCCAGCTGAACAGTGYCTATCTCCTGACTTTTTTGTGATTGTAATTTAATAAGCAATTTTACCACGCAGCATCAAGGGTCCCCTTGGAATTATAATATTRGGCTCATATTGCTTAGCTTGTGGAACTGTTCAGAGATGAGCCCTTGAAATGAAATTTACCCCCTCGGCCACACCTACACACACACTCACTTTCCCTTCAGAACCTGCAACAGCACAGTTTGCCGCATATTTAAAGGCAGGATTGGAACTCCACGGTGCAGAACGCCTCATTCTTCACCTCAGGCTATGCATGAAAGAGAGACAGTCTTCACAAAATGCCATCTCTTTTCTAAGCTCACACCACCAAAAAGTGCTTGTGATGTGTTGTGTGGCCACAGCTGTGTTTTTGCCTTCTCCAGTTTGATTCTTTTTTCCTATTCTATGTGTTAGACATTTCTTTAAAACCAGGAGGCATTAACAGTTCTTTTAATTAAAAATCCATTCTTATTTCCAAACTCCAGCAGTACAATGTAGCTGGCAGCTACAGCCCATTATTCTACCAATAAAAAAGGTTGGGATATATCAACAAGCTCAAAATGCGTGATGTGAAGAAACAAAGAAGGAAGATGCCCAGAACTTCTGGCATGCCCTGGTAGCTCATTAAAGTGAGGAGTGACTGAGAGCCTGAGATACAACACTGAAGACACAAGTATAGTACCTGTCTTTTCCTCTGCCCCAAATGACAGGAACAGGGGGAAAARTAATTTCAGAGTGAAGAGAGACGAAAGTAATGAGAGAGATTAGTTTTAAATATTGGACACATTTCATCATTCTGTACAAAAATGTCTGTCACTTTACTGGAGTGATGCTTTTATTTGATGCTCAAATTTTTCATGTGCAAAGCTACAAGTAGTCAGAATTTAACATCCTCAAATCATAATTTGGAACTATTCAGTACTCTCAACAGTCTTCTGTTGTGCTTTTTGAAAAGTGTCTATTGAAGTATCAGAAGAACTACATGGCAAGATAACAAAACTGCTCTGCAAAAGCATTTCAGAATTTGTGCTCATTATGCCCAATTTCAGTCAGTTCTACAAGTCTCATTTTCCACTGAATTGAAATGAATAAGCCCCCCTGATTTTCAAAAAGACTGAATTTGCTTTTAATCTCTAGGAAAATATTAATTTTCTTTCAAATGTCCTGATTAACAATGCTGAATTTATGTGGAACTTGATTTCCTCTCCTAAGTTAGCCATTCAGATTTTCAGAACAAGTTATTTATGGCTCTGAGAATGTGTTTATTTTAGTGTCTGTTAACCCCTAGAATGCACATATTTGTGTCTTCCAAAAGAGGGAAAGCTCTTCTTCCAAAAGAGGGAAAGCTCTTGATGGATGGAAAGATTCAGCATTAAGATATTTGCAGAAGCAAAGCAGGCAGGATGAAATGTCTGTCTACAATCACCAGAAACACTTCACATTAACCAGCACTAACATCAGAGGTGTTRTCAGGGTGCTTTCCCAAAATATTCCACACCAATCTGGTATTTTGTCTTCCTAAAGGCCRTCAGATGGACAAATTGAGTAGTGATACACATACATGCAAACCTCCAGCAAGGCAGATATATCCTACCCTGTCGTCCTTTAGCTCAAAAATGAAAGCATTATTAAATTACTTTGCTGAAATTCAAAGAACTATGAAATCAGGAAGACTCTGTAATACAGTGGAGATTCTCATTAGTAGTGGCAGCAGCATTCATTTCCTTTGAAACAAAGCCCTTCAGCATGCAGCCCCTTGCCTGCTCTGAGGCATTGATCTTACCTTGAGCTGAGAAATCATGAGAAGGCTGATAAAAATGCATAGTTCTGACCCTCAAAATCCACATAAGTGAAATGGTCATGATTTTTTGGACCCTTTACA